GTTTAGGGTCTAGGGTTTTGGGTTAAACTCAGAAGAGCCCTCTGTCGCAGGGCTACGAATGGCAGCGGATGCGCCGATGCCTCACCATCTTCTCTGCCCCGTGCCTTGGGTCACAGAGAAGGAACCACAGTAATGTCACACATACCCTCATAGGAATAGTAGCAGCAAGAACGGTCGTAATTCCCAGGAGGCGTTGAATTGCAAATGGCGATAGCAAGAGCAGAACGAATGACAAAAGCAGCATCGCGGCACCAAGAATCGCAGGTAATGAGTGCCGGGACAGTCGTCGTAAGAGTGATAGCGCACATAGGAAAAGCTCCCTTGCCGTGTGCCCCGGCCTTTGTCGAGTCAACCCGAGTGCCGAGGACGAACAGATATCATAGTATATTATAGTATATTATAGTATATTATAGTATATTATAGTATATTATAGTATATTATATAGTATATAATAGTATGTTATATTAGATTATAGTATATTATAGTAGATTATAGTATATTAGAGTCACCGCGCAAGGGTTGAGGTCACAGAAGTAGTCGGAAGGGCGATAGCACACATTGTGGTGAAACAGGACATAGTGAGAGTGACACCGAGAAAACCCTCACTAGAGTATGCATGTCAGCACATTTTTCAGAAGATGGCCCTGTCTTTCCACCTCCAAGTAGGGTATGAGGGTTTTAGAGTTTACGGCAGGCGATCAGTTGCAAGGGTCCATGAAACCCGGCGCAGAGAAAGCTGCGGCCGACTTCATGGCTTCGGCGCGTGGGAGTTTTGCACGGGAAGCGTAGGGAGATGGCGTGTAGGGCTTTTGGACTTTACCCGGACCCCCAAAAGTAGGTAGAATAATGGCCCCACACCGATAAAAGGCTATTATTCTACATACTTTCGGGGTCCAGGTAGGGGTTTAGGGCTTGCTAGTCAGAGCTCGAAGGAGGGCCAGGGCGCGCAGGAATCGATCCGCCACGCTTGAATCCCGAGCCCCTAAACCCTAAACCCTAATCCCTAACCCTAAAGGTCGATCCTAAGCCCTGGGCCTTAAGCCGCGGATTCTTGAGGAACTACTGCGACATGTGCGGGAATCTGGGAGCAGTCTGCGACATCCAGGCAGGTGCTACTGCTTTGAGTCATTCTACCTTAAGAACCCAAAACCCACTCTTTTGTAGGTTCTTATTCTAGACCCTAATATGGGATTTATAGGGACCCTACAAAAAAGTAGGTTTTGGGTTCTTAAGGTAGTACTAGTACAAACCCGTACTACTAAAGCAACAACAACAACATAAGGACAGATGCTAGTGTAGCAGCGGCAAGAATTGTCGTGCCGGTGTTGTGACCTCCCATTCGATCGGCGAGCTTCTGCAAGCTAAGCTGGATGCCTCGCACACTTGGAGGATCATGGGACTTAGTAAGTATGGTTATAAGTAGCTTAATTGGGGGTATAAGTAGTTATAAGTATAGTTAGCCCTTTAAGCAATCAGCAAGCCCGATTTCCTTACCTCTGACTTTCTGCAGTGGCACGGACCTTATATGGGGCTTCCTGTCACGATGTAAGGAAGGTTCGTGAATGGGGTGGGTCTCTTTGGGCTCTCCCTGCTTAAAGGATCATGGGACTTAGTAACTAAGGTTATTATTAGGCTAACTATACTTATAACTACTTATAACCCCAATTAAGGTACTTATAACCATACTTACTAAGTCCCATGATCCTCCAAGCTAGCTGTCCTGCAGAGAAGGCAAAGCCTGGACGGAAGCGCATCACGGTGCAGGGCCAAGACTTCTTCTACCTTGGGAACCCAAAACCTACTTTTTTGTAGGGTCCCTATAAATCCCATATTAGGGTCTATAATAAGAACCTACAAAAGAGTGGGTTTTGGGTTCTTAAGGTACGAATGAAGACATTTTGCGCATAGTGCCATCTGCAGGGAAATGCTTGCAAGAGTGGTCATCTATAGGGTCCCCCTAAACCCTAAACCCTAAACCCTAAACCCTAAACCCTAAACCCTAAACCCTAAACCCTAAACCCTAAACCCTAAACCCTAAACCATTATAGGGTTCTGAATCACTGATCCCTAGAAGGGTGCCGGGCCGTGGTTGTTATTCTGCAGCTTTGCTGAGCTGGCTTGCGGAACTGCACCTCCTCTTGTAGTAGTAGTAGTAGTAGTAGTAGTAGTAGTAGCAGTAGTAGTAGTAGTAGTCGTCGTCGTCGTCGTCGTCGTCGTCGTCGGTACCAGCAGCCGCATGTCCCTCATAATCCCCTAACCCCCCCCACCCTCAATCCTCTAAATCCTATGCGGTGCGTTCGACATCTCCGGGCTGTGTTCACTGGAAAGATCGGGGGAGTTCGTGACTTGGCTTTATAGGGCTGGGTCAAGGATTTAAGACGGGGTTTCGGGCTCACCCAGAGGATGGGGGACTCAGCGACGTTGGTTAAGACAACACCGTCAAGGTATGTAGCTCCGGCTGATAAGCTCTCAGAACATGCACAACCCTAAACCCCAAACCCTAAACCCTAGGTGGACGATCTCAACGTCCGCACTTTCGAATTCTCGCCGCACCCGGAGCCTAAGTTGCAAGTTGTGTCACCCGCCGCTTATTATTATAGTCATGATGGCTACAGCAATTATCGCTGTTATTGTGGTTATCTGTGTAGTTCCGAAGACAACAACAGCCACACGAAGAGGTATTGGTGTCACAAGACTAGCTATTCACAGTCGCTTTTGCTCCTACTACTCTTACTACTCCTCCTGCTGCGGCTGCTGCTACTGCTACTGCTACTGCTACTGTACGACTACTGTTATGATGATGACGACGATGATGATTGTCATCATCAAGCTGATGAGGTGATGATAGTTAGCCTTTCTTGTTGTTCTTCTCAACCCCTTGGAACACTGGCTCCTCATTCTTGGTGTCAGGAGGAGCCACACACGTCCAACCTTATGTTCCGGCCGTTCTGCTGACAGGACCCGGTGTTGCAGCTTTTTCCAGTAGCAGAAGGGTGTAAGATGTAGTGTTTGGGGTGAGGAGATGCGTACTAGTCCAGGGTTTGTGCTGGATGGTGGGGCCCTGATTTCGACTGCGCATTGGCTTGTTGTGCATTTCGTGCATTGAATCGAACAGCTGTCTACGGAAGGCTTGCTTCGGGCTCAGGGGCAGCATCTCGATTGTCTTCTGCTTTACATGTTGTCTTTTCCGCCGGCGCCAGCTGTCTGAGAAGTTCGGTTCGGATGCACGTCTTGCGCAGGAGTGGTGCTGGAACCTCGCAGGTCTCACTGCAGATGAGGAAGCATCTTCCGCCCCGAGCCCACCCCGCGCTTTTTTAGCTTCCACGGAGTGCCATGCAAGCTTCGGTCCTTCCGGGTGACTCGTGGGGTGCTACGGATGTTCGGAAGCTGCTTCCTCATCTCTTGGAATTCGAGCGCTTGCAAGATACCAGCGAGAGGCACGAACTGTCCAAGATTTCCAGGAGGAGCAAAGTGGGTCTCGTCTACTCTACCAAGGATTCTGCTGGGCGTAGCTCGTCTTCGATTCTTCGATTTGGGATCACCAGTTGGCGGGGTGATTTGGAAGCTGAATTCCAGCTTGGGTGGGGTTTTGTGGGCGTCATGCACCTGGCACGAATATCAGTGTGCTGATTTTTGGGACGGTTCTGGCTCGCTGCAGTACTCCGCAAGGTATTTGCACAACGAGGCATTTCCAAGCGCTGGTGCTACTGCCAGCTTAGTGGCATCAAATGTGGTTGCAAAGCATTTTGCAGACATGATGAGTAGGTTTGCTACACCATCTGCCCTTAGCAAATCAGCGAGGCTCAGCACCAGACTTGGGGTAAGGCCTCCGAAATTTGTTCAGGCTCTGCACGCGGTTTGGGGCAAGTCCTCGATTTTGACTCGCCGTGCAGAGGGGCTCAGTCCGTGGAACCAGAATTCAGCGTCCCTCTGACAGGACTTTGAGGGTCTTTTTGATCGTGTAGGTCCCACGGCGTCGACAGCCCAGATTGCCTGCTCAGCGAACCCAGAGAGCCCAATACCCCTTAATTCAGGAATACACCTTAAATTATAGTAGGATCCCTAATATGATTTAAGGTATATTCCTTAATGAAGGGGTTTTGGAGTCTCTGGGGGAAGATTCCTTGACTGGCCGGGCATTGTCAGCGGGAGCCGGCCACATCTCCTCCTGGCAGTCTTGCTGCAGCATGGTGAAGGCCTCCTCTTGGCCGAGAACGAGAACGTAGCGTCTTAAGAAGCGGTTTAGGGTTTAGGGTTTAGGGTTTAGGGTTTAGGGTTTAGGGGAAGTGATGCCAAAGAGCCAAATCGCCGCAAGGCATGCGTGGTGTCCTTCTTCAGCATGCTGCCGGGAATCTTTGCTGCAGCCTTTTTCCCTAGCTTGCGTCACTGGTTGCAGGGTCCGGCACGATAGAGGCTGAAGTTGCTATACTGTACTGTACAGCGAGTACTTAAAAGGATCATGGGACTTAGTAACTAAGGTTATTATTCGGCTAACTATACTTATAACTGATTATAACCCCCAATTAAGGTACTTATAACCATACTTACTAAGTCCCATGATCCTCCAAGATAGCTCATCATTAGTCGGAATTACCATGGGCAGGGAGTCGGGCTACGATGTCTGCCGGTGGTCCCGCGGTTCAGAAAAGGTTTAGGGTTTAGGGTTTAGGGACGCATTCTACACCAAAACTTCTGAGTTCTCCTAGCCCCGGCTTTGACGAACGACTTGCGTTCCTTGTAATAAACCCCACCAGAATCCGCAATACGTCAGAACCTGTTTTTATTCCCTAAACCTTGAGGGATTGCACGTAGGTGCTCTTGAGCATCCATGCATCAAACCCCTGCGACGGTGACTGCCCACAAAGATGGGCCCTTTCTGCTCGCTGATCAGGGTCTGCTAGGGCACTTAAGTACTTAAAGGATCATGGGACTTAGTAACTAAGGTTATTATTAGGCTAACTATACTTATAACTACTTAACCCCCAATTAAGGTACTTATAACCATACTTACTAAGTCACATGATCCTCCAAGTATCCTTGTAGCACTATCGGCTACAGGGTTTGAGGGCAAGCCAAGGTTGGGGATTTTAGGTTTAAGGCACCGTGCCCGGCGGTCTTCGCTGCTCGGCGGATCCTTGCGAATGCTTGCAGCATTCGATGAATGTGGCCATTTTCGCGCGAAGGCTCCGCAACCAAAGCGCAAGAAAAGAGTGACAGCAAAGTCTTACCTCAGTCGACTACTCCAGATGCTAGTGGGCTATGAATCTTCCGGACTAGGACGCTCGAGTGCCAAGTGTATCTCATTCCATCCGTCTCTCCGCGTATGTGTGTATGTCTATACATGCATATATATATATATATACATACACATGTATGTATGTATGTATGTATGTATGTATGTATGTATGTACGTACGTATGTATGTATGTATGCATGCATGCATATGTACGTATAGACATACTTACGTAGTTACGTTGAGACGTCCTGCCAACTTGCAGCAGTGCCCTGGAGCAGCATGTGTCGCTCCTGCCCCTTCTGCTGCTTCTCACGCCCCTAAACCCTAAATCCCTGGACCCCAAACCCTAAACCCTATACCCTAAGCCCTAAACCCTAAACCCTAAACCCTAAGCCCTAAACCCTAAACCCTAAACCCTAAGCCCTAAACCCTAAACTGATCCGTAAACCCAAACCCTGAACCCT